GATTTGTCACATACAAAGTAGATACCACACCCAGGGACAATGTGGCAGGACTTCGGAGTTTAGAATGGGAACAAATAGTTTCAGATGGGTTCTAAGGAGACAAATCTAACAGAGAAAAAAACAAGAACTGTGCAAAGTGAAACTAAATGCCTTGGAGACACAGGATGGTCTTTCTGGAGCTACCCAAGATTACGAATTCTCCACTAACGGCTGGGAGGCTTCTGTAAGTCATTTAACACGCCAGGAGCTAGACTGTGGGGTCACTAGGGTCCTTTGAAGCTCCCCAAACCACGATCCCACTGCTTCATTCTGCCTGCTAGAAGAGTGAAGCAGAGGTGAGGCATGGTGTAGGCGGAGTCTGTTATGGAATGAAAGGAAGGGTTGGAGCAAGCTTCACACAGATCAATCACCAGCACCTAACAATAAATGTGAGGACCTCTAGCCGCGAACATCCACCTATGCTGCACTACAAAGTTCAAGGTAAAGTTCGTTGCTTTCTGTGGGCACCAAATCCTGAGGCAGTGCTCACATACAAAGCACTCAGAATACACATCTATGAATTGTTAAAGATTATCACCTGGAAAAAATTAAAACATTTAAAAATTAAAGTGGAGCGCTCATAGACTCTAAGAATAAATTCACAAACACCTAAAGGTCCAAGAATTCTAGGGTGAGAACTACTTGACTAGATCACTCAGAAAGTACCTGACCTGAAGATTTTGTAAATCATGTATGGCACCAAAAACACCCAAACCTGTAAACTGAAGTAAACTTCTATCTTGGTTTACCTCCAGGAGAGTTTGATCATGGAGAAGGGGCTGCTATCCTCGCAGCACTCACCATTGTTACACCAGTGCTTGCTCTGGTTGGTCAGTATCTGCAATGTTCCAGCTGCTTATATGTCTAACGTCACCTGAGCGTTGGTGGCAAATAATGTGATGGTATCACACCTGCCCGCCACCGTGAGTCCCTGAAGCTGAGAGCAACAGCTGCTGTGGCTCTAAAAAAATAGGTATTTTCACCAGTGTAAGCATATTTAATCAATGCATGTAAATAACACGTGTATAACACTTTCTCCAGTAGTTTCAAGCAAAAGACAGGGTGGCCATAAAGTTCACGTGCAATTTAAAATAGTTACAACTATTTAAATTGTATATAGGAGCCCTGTATATAGGAACCTCATTTAATCTTTTTCTTCATAAATTGGGTGTCCATTGGCAGCAGCCACTTCCAAATACTTGTGACCAAACCCCCTAGTACTGGACTCTAATTCATGCAGACACATACACATGAACACTAAAATACAGACAAATGTATTTTCCATAATCTTAAAGGGCATACGCGAACAAATGTGATGTGTTCTTGTCAAGGGTGATTGTATGCCTTGACCTACAATTGCAAATGTGCAGGGAGCCCTAAAGTGCTTGCTGGAGACCTCTAAAAATCAATTTCTTGACTCTGGAATTTAACCTCGCACAAACACAGAGTTGTAGCAAAATAAAAATATGAAAACAAGACTATAGGCCCAAAACTTAATCATCAAACTTCAAATGTTTCTGAAGAAGGGAATTTCACCAACAGTGTTTTGTCCAACTAAACTCAGAGCCAAGGTTGGCCTTCTGCTGCTGCTCCAAGAACCAGCGAGGGAAGAATCTGCCCTTCGCTCAGAGGACACGCATCAGAGGGCATTACTAGCGCTGAGCTGCCGATAAAGTCAGCTGGAATTAGGCACAAAAGAACGCAAGCTCAGCTGTTTTGATTGAGGTAACTGACAAATAACTCCATCAAAGGCCTACGACGTACTTGCACTTGATTAGATTTAAATGGGTACATATATATACATAGCCCTTCCTCTTTCCAACAGCTAACATTTTCTCTATGAATAAAAGGTTGGGGGTGGCGCCTGTGGCTCAGAGGAGTGGGGCTCCAGCCTCATATACCACAAGTGGCAGGTCCAAACCCAGCCCCGGCCAAAAATTGCAAAAAAAAAAAAAGAAAGAAAGAAAAAGGCTGGAAAAACTAGCCTGACTTATAGTGTCATGGAACAGGAAAATGGAGGGGTGAAATGGGAACCCAAGGCTTTGACTCTCAGACCTGTTGCCTCTTCCTTTATACCTTGTCACCCTTCCTGTGCAGAAAAGGAGTGTTCAAGGGCCAAAGGTTTATGTATCCAACTGGACAAAGACTCTGGCCACCAGTTGTCAGCCTCAACTTGTATAAACAACGGTTTCTAAAGATCATCCTGATACACATATTAGACTTATTTGCTCCATAGAGCTACATTCCAGGCAGTGCCCAGCTATATTATAACAGGGTTCCTATGAATAATACTCATAGCAAATTTATTATAGATGAATTCAGCTTTCACATAAAGTCAGGTAGTTCTGAAACTTTTTGTTTTTTGTCATTAATTTTTTTTTTTTGCAGTTTTTGGCCGGGGCTGGATTTGAACCTGCCGGCATATGGGGCTGGTGCCCTACTCCTTTGAGCCACAGGCGCCGCCCTGTCATTCATTTTTTTTTACATAGTTTATCTTTTTTTTTTGAGACTATGTTGCCTTCTGTAGAGTGCTATAGTGTCACAGCTCACAGCAACCTCAAACTCTTGGGCTTAAGTGATTCTTTTGCCTCAGCCTCCCACGTAGCAGGGACTACAGGTGCCTGCCACAACACCCAGCTATTGTTTTTGTTGTTGTTGCAGTTGTCATTGTTTTTTAGCTGGCCCGGACTGGGTTCGAACCCACCAGCCTTGGTGTATGTGGCCTGCGCCCTACCCACTGAGCTATGGGTATGGCCATGAAACTTAGTTTTCTTCATTCCTTGACATCTTTTATGAGCACCTGCACATCCGAGGAGACGCTCACGATGTCCTGTGACTCAAGTTCACTTCAATGGACTATAAACAATGACTTGCCGCAGGACTGTGAGTGAGTTGCTCTACCTCCCTGCCCTCAGCCTCCTCATCTATAAATGAAATGAAGTCTTAGACACAAGACTTCCTATTGTCCACCTAAGTCTAAGCTCCAAAGATTCACAATAGGGTTGCTGGAATTAAAAATTAAAAAGTTCAGGCTCGGGCGGCTCCTTTGGCTCAGTGGGTAGGGTGCTGGCCCCATACACAGAGGGTGGCGGGTTCAAACCAGGCCCCGGCCAAGCTGCAACAACAAAAAAATAGCCAGGCGTTGTGGTGGGCACCTGTAGTCCCAACTACTCAGGAGACTGAGGCAAGAGAATTGCCTAAGCCCAACAGTTGGAGGTTGCTGTGAGCTGGGTGATGCCATGGCACTCTACTGAGGGCAATAAAGTGAGACTCCGTCTCTACGAAAGAAAAAAAAAAAAGTACAGACTCACAGCCAGAATCTCAGTGGTTAGGGCACCGGCCACACACACTGGGGCTGGTGGATTCAAACCCGGCCTGGGACTGCTAAACAATGACAATAATAACAACAACAAAAATTGCTTGGCGTTGTGGTGGGTGTCTGTAGTCCCAGCTACCTGGGAGGCTGAGGCAAGAGGATTACTTAAGTCCCAGAGTTTGAGGTTGCTGCTGTGCCACAGCAGGGTGACATAGTGAAACTCTGCCTCAAAAAAAAAAAAAAAGAAGAAAAAGTTCACGCTGGGCACGGTGGCTCATGCCTGTAATCCTAGCACTCTGGGAGCTCGAGGTAGGTGGGTTGCCTGAGCTCAGGAGTTTGAGACTAGCCTGAGCCACAGCAACACCCCATCTCTAAAAGTAGCCAGGCACTACGCAGGCACCTATAGTCCCAGCTAGTTGGGAGGCTGAGGCAAGAGGATCAGTTGACCTCAAGAGTCTGAGATTGCTGTGAGCAGTGACACCATGGCACTCTGCTGAGGGCAACAAAGTAAGAGTCTGTCTAAAAGAAAAAAAAAAAGCTCAAGTACATAAAAACATCCAAAGCCTTAATTTAAAGTGTTAAGACCAAGCACTGGTGTCTCACACCTGTAATCCTAGCACCCCAGGAGGTCGACACAGGAGGATCACTTGAGGCCAGGAGCTCAAGACCAGCTTGAGCAAGAGCCCCCACTTCTAGTAGAAATAGAAAAGATAATCCAGGTGTATGGTATGTGACTATAGTCCCAGCTACTTGGGAGGTTAAGGCAAGAGGATCACACGAGCCCAAGAGTCTGAGATTGCTGTGAGCTATAACACCACTGCACTCCAGCCTGGATGACAGAGCAAAACTCTGTCTCAAACTCCATCCCCATTCCCCTTGCCCCCGCCAACCCATTAAAACAGTATCAACACTTCCATAGAGAGCTACACATCCCTTTGGCCAAAGAGAGCTCAGTAATCCTTGTACACAGCTTCAGTCCCTGAGGCAGCCGCTCTCCTCACCCACTGGGCCAGAGGAGCAGTGTATAGTGAGAGGTGAGGGCTGTTGACTGTAATCCACACAGCACAGCTGCCAGTCCTGGGACCATCCAACTGAGAGACAGGAGCTTCTCTGAGATTTCATCCTGAGTCGAGCTTGACTGAAGCCTGAGCTACCATGCATGGGTTTCCACATGAAAGAAGCGATACTTTCCCTTTTTTGCTTTAGTGAGTTTGAATTGGTGTCCTGTCACCAGCTCCAGAAAGATTCTGACCAATATCTGGCATTGGTTGTAAAGTCTCCTTCCACTCCCACAGCAACCGAATGTGTCTCTCTTCACATTGAGCCACCATCTTCCTGGAGCCAAACCTGCCCCCAACTTGTGCGTGAACACTTTGCTTGCATTAAAACAGAAAATGGGGCTTGGCGCCTGTGGCTCAAGCGGCTAAGACACCAGGCACATACACCTGAGCTGGCAGGTTCGAATCTAGCCTGGGCCGCCAAACAACGACAGCTGCAACCAAAAAATAGACGGGCGTTGTGGTGGGCACCTGTGGTCCCAGGTACTTGGAAGGCAGAGGCGGGAGACTCGCTTGAACCCAGGAGTTAGAGGTTGCTGTGAGTTGTGATCTACCCAGGGTGACAGCTTGAGGCTTTGTCTCAAAAATAAAAAAAATAAAAAAATAAACAGAAAAAGGGCTGGGCATGGACCGAATTTTTACTTCCTACATGTACAGAAGAGCAGCCTTAGGAAAGGGGAGAGCAGAGGGAGGTGAGTGGAATATGTCCTCACTGTCCCATCTACAACTCCATGCAGAGGGGACTCAGAACTATAACCAAGAGGGGGAAGGGGAACTCTGGAGAGGGGAAATCTAAGCTTGGTCTAGGCTAAGAACAGTGGTTCTTTGAGCTCAAGGGAACCTTAAATGCATGTGGTTCCACTTTGCTTTTCACAGATATGTAAGCCAAGGCCAAGTATTCTGTCATCAGGGTACACAGTCAAAACCAAGGGGGACAATTCAAGCCTTCAGAAAAGAAAGTTTTTCAACATGTAGACTTGTCAAAAGGAAAAGAAAAAACAGAACTTACTGGGTCTGAAAAAAAGGTTGTTTCCTATCACTAGAAGATCAAATGGAGACTAGCAGACCATCCACCACCAATTCTTGTGCTGGGTGGGAGGCTGCAGAGCAAAGGCACACATCTTTCAAGTATAAGAGACGATGAAAACTCTAGCCCTGAAACGCTCCCTGTGGAACCGGGAATACTAGTTTCTTCGTTAGTGTGAAAGCAGGCTGGGGCATCTGCTTCTTTGTTCCCCATTCATCTGTTTGTCGACTCACATCATGGTTGACAACAGTGAGGATGGATAAGATGTCTTCACCTCTGCAGACAGAGAGGAAAAATTTTCTCAGTCAGAAGGCCAAAACTACATCCTAGGTCTTAGAAAGATAACAGATAATCAGAAGGCAGGAAGGAAGGACTCAAATAGATAAATATGTAGCATTAATAATCCCCTCTCTATTATTGGCTTAGGGAGAGATCTAAAGATAAACACGACATAGTCCCTGAATTTAAAACTCTTAGAGGACAGACACAAAACATTTATCAAGCATGGCGTGTACACAATGTCCACGATACAAGGCAGAAAGTGACCAAGTCCATATGTAAAGTAGGTCAAAGTTCCATTGCAAGTACAGAGGAAGAAGCTTTTCTGGTTGGAAGGAAGAGAGAAAACTCCACGGAGGAGGTAGCATTTGAACTAGGGATGGTAGGACAAATAGCATTTACCAGAATATTCTGGAGGTGGGTGATACATATCACTGGCAGCAAAAATAACCTTTGGAGGTACACTCAATTTTGAGTTGTGGCTCCGTTGCTCACTAATTGTGTGATTTTAGGCAGGTTACTTACTTTTCTGTGCCTCAGCATTAGGTGGGAACCATGGTAATCTCAGTCTTAGACACTGCCATGGGAATTAAATAATGTATTTCAGATAAAGCACTTAGAACACTGGCTACACTATTCCATTGACCGTCTTTTAGCATTATTATTACTCCTCTCCTCTCCCTCCTCATCATCATGATCATCACCACTTTTCAGGTGGAGGATAAAAGACCTGCCTAGTTTTCTATCCCTGGATCTTGCTTTGCAATAGCTGTTTTCTCTGTTTCCCTATCTTTCTATGGCTGATCCCTTCTCATAACATAGCTTCCCCTGAAATATTATCTCCACCAAGAAGCCTTTTCAAGTAGGCCCTGCCCTGCTCTCTGTATCATTATGTCATGATCCCCTTTTCATATGTTCATGGCAGTCACCACTTCCTGAAATTGTCTTATTAATTTAGATATTAAACACTGAAAACCATACAACATGGACACTAAAAGAGGATACTTAAAAAATGGAAGTATATCTCATGTTCACAGATTAGAAAAATTGATCTTGTTAAAATGACCATACTATACAAGTGTTCTATAGATTTAATGCAATCCCTACCAAATACCAATGAAAAGCCAGGTGTATGGGCACAGCTATAGTCTCAGCTACTCAGGAGACTGAGAAGGGACAATCACTTGAGCCCAGGAGTTTCAGGCCAGTCTGGGCAACACAGAACCTATTTCTTCACAAAAATAGAAAAAACAGCTGTAAAATTCATATGGAACCACAAAAAACTCCATGTAGCAAAAGCAATTCTGAACAAAAAGAAAGGTGGAGGTATAACACCACCTGACTTTGAAATGTACTACAAAGCTATAGTAAACAAAACAGTATGGTACTGGCATAAGAAGAGACATTCAGATTAAAAGAACAAAACAGAGAGTTTAGAAATGAATTCATGTATCTACAGCTAACTGATTTTTAACAAAGAATCCAAGAACACTCATTGGAGAAAAGACAGTCTCTTCAAAAACTGGTGCTAGGAAAATTGGACATCCACATGTAGAAGAATGACACCTACCTTTCACTATACATGAAAATCAACTTAAAATGGATTGAAGCCTTAAACATAAAACCTGATACTATGAAACTACTAGAAGAAAACAAACCACCTCACTCCAGTTAGAATGGCTATTATCACAAAAACAAAAGAAAACAAGTGTTTGCAAGGATGTAGAGGGATTATATATTAGTATGGGCATTAGGTAAAACAGTATGGAGGTTCCTCAAAATATTAAACATATGGTTCAGCACTCTCACTACTGAGTATATACTCAGAGAAAACAAAATCAGTATCCAATCAGTATACTCACTACTGAGTATATATCCAGAGAAAACAAAATCAGTATTCAAAGAGATAGCTGTACTCCCATGTTTGTTTCAGCACTATTTACAGTAGCCAAGACAGGGGATCAACCTAAATGCCCCACAAGAAATGAATGGATAAAGATAATGTGGTGAATATACACAAAGGAATACTATTCAACCATAAAAATAAACAAAATCCTGCCATTTGCAACAATATAGACGAACCTGGAAGACATAATATTAAATGAAGTAAATCAGACATCAGAAAAGAAAAATTAAAAAACCCAGTATGTTCTCACTCATATGTGGAATCTAAAACAAAAAAAAAAGGTTCATATCAAGAGAATCTCTTACGGGCAGTGCCTGTGGCTCAAAGGAGTAGGGCACTGGCCTCATATGCCAGAGGTAGCAGGTTTAAACCCAGCCCTGGCCAAAAACTGAAAAAAAAAAAAAAAAAAGTAGAGAATCGCTTAAGCCCAAGAGTTTGAGATTGCTGTGAGCTGTGACACCACAGTACTCTATTGAGGGTGACATAGTGACACTCTGTCTGAAAAAAAAAAAGTTGGTATCATGGAAGCAGAGAGTAGAACACTGCCTATGAAAGACTTGGGAGGAGGGGGGAAGAGAAGATGGGGAAAGGCTGGTCAATGGGTACAAAGTCACAATTAAATGGGAGGAAATAATTGTGGTGTTCTCATTTTTTCCCCAATAGATACAGGGGTTACAAACAGAGTTTTGTAACATGGATATATTGTATGGTGGTGAAGTCTGGGCTTTTGGTGCACTCATCACCCAAATAGTGTACATTGTATGGAAATGTTTTATCCTTAGCCTCCTTCCATTCTCCCTGAGTTCTAGAGTGGGTGACTATAGTTAATAATGAGGTATTGCATACCACAAAATAACTAAAAGAGAGGATTTGTGGGAGGGGGTTGTTTTGTGTGTTTTGGAGACAGAGTTTCACCGTTTTGCACTCGGTAGATTGCTGTGGCATCACAGCTCACAGCAACCTCAAACTCTTAGGGTCAAAAAATCCTCTTGCCTCAAGCCTCCCAAGAAGCTGGGACTATAGGCACCTGTTACAATGACTAGTGATTGTTTTAGAAACAGGATCTCACTCTTGCTTAGGTTGATCTCAAACTCTTGAGCTCAGGCATTACACCGCTTCAACCTCCCAGAGTGCTAGGATTACAGGGATGAGCCACCGCACCAGGCTAGAAGAGAGGCTTTTAGAGGTACTCACCACAAAGAAATGACAAATCCTTGTGGTGTATACACTAACTACCTTGATTTGATCATTAATCAAGGTATATATATATATATATATACACATACATATATATATATATATCTCAAACTGTACCCCATAAACAAGTACAATTTTGATGTGTCAATTAAAAAATAAATAAAAGGGAGCTGGGCACAGTAGCTCACATCTATAATCTTAGCACTCTAGGAATGAGTGGGGTGGCTCTGTAATCCTAGAACTCTGGAATGCTGAGGGCGTGTAGATTGCTTGAGCTCAGGAGTCTCTAAAAAAAAAGAAAGAAAGAAAAGAAAAAACAAAAATTTCTACAGTAGCAAAAAATAGTCATTGCTTAGTCAGGCTTGTATACCATCTCCTTTTAGTAAACTGTTGAATATTTAAATAGTTAATGATTAATCAGGTATTGAGCCCAGGAATGACACCACAGCACTCTACCCAGGGCAACAGAGTGAGACTCTGTCTCAAAAAAAAAAAAAAAAAA